ATCTATCTATCTATCTATCTATCTATCTATCTATCCCCACACATTTCCCCACCATTGCTCCACGTTCTGCCATCTGCCACCACTGAGAACAGCCTCTCTCCATCCTCTTTGGAACCCCCCTTCAGGTTGTTGAAGGCTGCTCTCAAATCCCCTCTCACTCTTCCCTTCTGCAGGCTGAACAAGCCCAAATCCCTCAACATCTCCTTGTAGATCATGTGCTCCAGCCCCCGAATCATTTTCATTGCCCTCTGCTGGACCATCTCCAATGTGGACCATCTCCAACTCTTTTCTGTAGTGGGAAGGGGGCAGAACTGGACACAATACTCCACATGTTGCCTCCCCAGTGCCGAATAAAGAGGAACAATTACCTCTCTAGATCTACTGGCAATGCTCCTCCCAATGCAGCCCAATATGCCATTAGCCTTCTTGGCTACAAGGGCACCCTGTAGACTCATATCCAGCTTCTCATCCACTGCAATCCCCAGGCCTTTTCTGAAGAACTCCTACTTAGCCAGTTGGCCTGCAGCCTGTAACAATATTTGGGATTCTTCCGTCCCAAGGGAAGGACTCATCATTTGTGCTTGTTGAGCCTCCTCAGATTTCTTTTGGCCCAATCCTCCAATTTTTCTTGGTCACTCTGGACCCTATCCCTGCCCTCCAATATATCTACCTCTCCCCCTAGCTTAGTGTCATCCAGAAATTTAATGAGGGTGCAACCTACCCCCGATCCAGGTAAGTAATAAAGATGTTGAACAAAACCAGATCATGATCTGGAGTTCAATGGCTCTATGCTAATTAACACTGGGTGGTGTCTGGGTCTCAGAATTCCATAGTGCACATCTGAGTGCACCGAACTTGCTCGTCGCCAGGCCATGGTCTCGTTTACCATTGGTGCTGTGTGGCTGATTTTTTTTCTTGCTTCTCCCTTCTGCTGTCTGTAGTCTCCCATATTCTAGAACCCCCTTCATCCATTGAATGAGAGTGGAAATCCTGTTTCCTGAGGAGGGCACTGGACTGTTTTAGCAATATTTCCCTCAATCTGCTCTCCATATATTGTGCTCTTCTTTCATTGCTTGCATGTTCTCCTGTGTTTAAATGGAAAATATTGGTCAAATGCCAGTGACAGGAATCGTTACAGATCGTATTTCTAAGGGTGAGTAAATGTCTCCATTTATTTACAACATTTCCAAACGTCAGCCAAGAAATAAATCAAAATTCTTTCTGAATATATTATTCCATGCATATTAATCTTTTGCATGAAAAACATTTGTGTTGGTGGCAGTTTTCAATTTTCTATTTGGCATCATATGATTTTTTTCTGATTTGAAGTTAGGGATTTCAACTTTCATAGTATTTCAGGGTGAAAACAAGTATTGGGATACTGGGACAGTTGGAAAAAGATGTGGAGAAATTGTAAAAGGTCTTGAGAAGAGCAACAAAAAACATTAAGGCTGTATCTACACTGGGCCACTTATTCCGGAAAATCAGCCGCTTTTCCGGAATAAGCTGCGAGCTGTCTACACTGGTCCTTGAATTTCCGGAAGAGCAACGATGCTCTACTGTACAAAATCAGCCGCTATTCCAGAAAATCTATTCTGCTCCCGCTCAGGCATAAGTCCTTATTCCGGAACACTGTTCTGGAAAAGGGCCAGTGTAGACAGCCCAGTAGTCTTTTCGGGAAAAAAGCCCCGATCGCGAAAATGGCGATCAGGGCTCTTTTCCGGAAAAGCACGTCTACATTGGCCACAGACGCTTTTCCGGAAAAAGGGCTTTTCCGGAACAGCAGCCTGCTAATGTAGACGCTCCTTTTCCGGAAAAACTGAAAACGGAATAGTATTCCGTTTTAAGCAGTTCCGGAAATTCATGCCAGTGTAGACACAGCCCCAGTGTTTTCCCCAGGAACTGAAAGTAGAAGAGGCTGGAAACACCTAAATTGGCACTAACTCGGACTCAGAGTTCAATTGCTCACCAGACTAGCCTTGCAATGCAAATTGATTCTATCTACCTTATAGAGCTGGTTGTACAAGCACTTACCTTCAATGCACTGATGCGAAGGCCTGCATATATAAAGTTGCTCCTGCAGGATCCAAAATGGGTGTCACAGGACAAGTGTAAGCCACCCAACAAATTATTATTGCTGTTTATTTTTTCCATGCTAATGCCATGCTGGGCATTGTACAGGATGCAATAGTCAAGGCAGTCCCTGCTCTTCAGCATTTACAGAATAGCAGAGAGCCATGGAGAGGGAGAAATGAGGTGCTGTGAACTCCAGAAGATGGTCTAGATGAGGGCAGGGGACTGGACTTGATGACCTCTTGAGGTCTCTTCCAGTTCTAATGCTCTATGATTCTTTGATAGTTTCCAGGCGGTGGGAATTCCACTTCCTGGCCATCTCTGCCATTAGTGCAGTGTCTGAGCTACAGACAATACTCACCAATGAATTTACCTCAAAGTAGCTCTTAAGAGAGGGAGAAGAACTCCTACCCCTTCTCCGGGACTCTGTGTTTGGGGAATGTCAATTGCTTGTGTTCTAAATTGTTCTATACAGTTCTCTGTTCATAGTGGACCACCCAAGTTTTCTTTTATGGTATGATTTAATTTTCTCTTTGATTCCTTTTACGTGTGTGTGTGTGTGTGTGTGTGTGTGTGTGTGTGTGTGTGTGTGTGTAATTTCCAGAAGACTGGTCCATTTAGTCTTCCAGAGTTCCAAGTATGAAGGGGGCATCTACATAGCACACTAAACTTGAAATAAGATACGCAATTTGCACTATGCAAATCACGTATCTTATTGCGATTGAATTTCGAAATAGGCTATTTTGAAATTTGGAGTGTCTGCACAGAACCAAATTTGGAAATACTGTGCTATTTCAAGAAATCACTTAGCAAGAATTACTGGGATGCGGAAATAGCACACCCGTTATTTTGAAAAATATTTCAAAATAATGGGCAGCTTGTTAAGATGCTGGGTAACTATTTCAGGATACCTCCAGTGTCCCGAAATATCCGTGCAATGTAGATGTATCCCTAGAGACATCAGTTCCTATTTCTGGATATGCTCACTCAAAAAGTCCTTCTATCATTCCCGTTTCCTGCTTTGTAGCTTACTGTTATTTGATGTGCTGCATTGAGTCCCATGCTGAAGATGTCAAGGTTATGACTCCGTTCCTGTTGACAACTAACCCTGATGTAAAATATCAGAAGTTTCTTGTCAACAGCTTAATCCTGCAGTAAAACATCAGTGGAAAATGTCTCTTCTTCTTTGCAAAAAGGCTTTGCAGGACGATCACAAGACAAACACTGGCCACTGGTGTAAATCAATACAGCTCTTTTTTACACCCACAAGGTTATCAAGATTTATACCAGCTGATTAACTGGCCCTAGGTCTCCTTTTGTATATTTATAGAAACTAGAGCCATGAAGCAGTCAAGATTCAAATCGTTCTCTAATATTTAGGGAAGAATAATATTTTATAACTAATGGGCGAGGCCCATGGTTGACCGGGCAAAGTCATTTTGCGTAGATTACACTGACAGAAAGTTCAAGATATTAAATCTACGTCATTGGATTTTTTATTAAGGTGCTTGCAAAAGGAAGTAAAAAACATCAAACATGACTCATTGTATCGGATAATTATCATCCATCGTACATTTGAATCAGAAACTCGTAAAGCTTCCGTTGCTCTTTCCATAACTAATTTGAATTATTTTGTGATTGGTAACAGTAAAAATGTTCTTTGCGCTAAAAGGACAGTTGAATCAGCGACTCGATTTTAATTTTGTTAGCAAATATTTGTTAGGAACTCTAATCATAATAGTCATGACATTTTTCCAATGAAAAAAATAATTATTTAAATCTTTCACCCAGCACGTTCTGGTGTAAAAAGTAGTATTCAGGTAATATCAGTGGCAGGGCTGTTTATGCCTAATTTGGTACCTGTAAGTAATCGGGAAGCAGGACTTTATTTTGCACAAAGAAATACACAAACGATGAAAGTCTCCAAAATGTATAATAGATACACAAAAGGCCAAAAATCTCCCATCGGTCGTCGTGCGTCTCATTCTTCAAAGGGCTTCAGACTTACTGGGCTCAGCAGCATCAGGTCACTGTAGCCCTCATTTACTTGAGCTGTAACAACAGTGGGAACACTGAGATGTATAGAGTTCTCCTTGGGATGAAGATATGAGGGAGATGAGAAGTTGCCCTCCTTTGAGAAATTGTATCTGGTGAATGTGGAACATTCTCCATAGATAGGAAGGAAGGAAGGAAGGAAGGAAGGAAGGAAGGAAGGAAGGAAGGAAGGAGGGAGGGAGGGAGGAAGGAAGGAAGGAAGGAAGGAAGGAAGGAAGCAAGGAAGGAAGGAAGGAAGGAAGCAAGGAAGCAAGCAAGCAAGCAAGCAAGCAAGCTGGAAACACCTCTATTGCTGGGATAAAGTGAGGTAGTTCCTTCAGGTCTGGTCCACACAACATAAGAAGGTCAAAGTAAGATACGCAACTCCAGCTCCATAAATTACGAAGCTGAAGTTGACGTATCTTAAATCCCCATCCACACAGCCAGAGGTCAATGGGAACAAATACTCTTGTCGGCTTCCCTTACTCCTTACGAGGAGCAGGAGGTGCCGTTTGAGTTCGATCTATACCACCCGCTAAATCAACTCCCAGAAAACCGACTGCAGCAGTGTCGATCTCCCGTGTATTGTAGAGGTGCCCTTGGAATTAATTTATGAGATTCCCCAACTGCTGAAAGTCAGCTATAGTTCCACCGGGGTCCAAGTGGCCATAGCTGCAGCTGATCTCCTTGGCATCGCTTGATTGCCTACAAAATGGCTACACTAGTTCATGTGTGATGATGACTGGGCCTAGTTCCTTATTCATTGTAGAGTGTTTGAGTCAGAAGCATTGCAGCACACTGGAGACCAGTGTGAATTGTTTGATTCACACCCATGTGTTTGGTATTCCGCAGATTCAGCTCCATCTTCCCTTTCAATTTTAATCCCCATGCAGATGGCCTACTCTAAGAACGGCCCTGGCGAGAACCAGACCATCTCCGGCGTGTTAATCTTGGTGGGATTCTCGTACCTTGGCAAGCTGCAAATCCTTCTATTTCTGCTGCTTCTGGTCATCTACCTAGCCACCCTATTCGGGAACCTGCTCGTTATCCTTCTGATAAAGCTGACCCCTTCTCTCCACACCCCCATGTATTTCCTCCTGGTCAACCTGTCCTTCCTGGAAATCTGCTTCACTACAAGCATGGTCCCTCAGCTGCTGGTTCACCTCCTGGTAGAGGAAAAGACCATCTCTCTCACAGGCTGCGCAGCCCAGATGTACGTCATCACCATTATGGGTCTCACCGAATGCTGCCTCCTCGCAGCGATGGCCTACGACCGCTACGTGGCCATCTGCCACCCCTTGCACTACACGACCATCATGAGTGGCCAGGTGTGTGCCCAGCTCGTGGGGGCTTCATGGCTCATTGGGATCTCAGTGGAAGTAGCTCAGACTACGTGGATCTTCAGCCTGCCCTTCTGCGGATCCCACCGCATCCACCACTTCTTCTGTGACATCCCACCGGTGGTGAATATGGCCTGCACCGACACATCCAAAAATGAGATCATGGTCTTCACTGTGTCAGTTGTCTTCATCATGAGCCCTTTTCTGTTGATAATCCTGTCCTACATCTGCATTATCTACAACATCCTGAAGCTACCATCAGTGGAGGGGAGGCGTAAAGCCTTCTCCACCTGCTCCTCCCACCTCATGGTGGTGATGTTGTTCTATGGAACAGCCCTCATCACCTACATGAGGCCCAAGTCTAGCTCCAGCCCAGAGACTGATCAAATGATTTCCCTCTTGAACACCATTGTGGCACCCATGTTGAACCCCATCATATACACGCTGAGGAACAAAGAGGTGAAGGGAGCCCTGAGAAAAGCAGTAGAGAAAAGCATCTTTGCTTCTAGAAACCAAAGAACAGAAAATAGAGCTAATCAAAGTGGGGGGGATAAGGAAAAGTCATAAATATTTTTCTCAATTTTCATCTTTTTAAACTGACTTTTTGGGATTTGGAAAGCTTTGATTCATTGTCAACACCTGAGGGAAATGGGAAGAGAAATGTTTGTGTCTAGAAAAAATACATCTAAATGTGCATGAAAATATGAGAGAAACTTTTGAGCGGATTTAAACCTCATTAAAATATCAAATGAGGCTATTTCCCGATTTTATAGCTTCAAAATGTAAACTGTGAAAGCAAGATAGATTGATAGATAGATAGATTATGTAAATATATGAATGTGACATTTACACATTTAATAAGAAATAAATATAGAAACTATGTATACACAATAAATATAGAAACGATATAAATATAGGAATATGATACCTTTACTAAAATGTTCACCTTGCTTTGTGCAAGTTAACCTGATGTTTCCTGAGCCAGAGAAGCACTATACATATTTTATATTACAGCTGTAAAATAAATATCTGTGTTCAAAATTCTTGGGACTACCGCTGGGTCTGTCAATGTAGAACAATATTGCACCAAACGCCCATATACATGGTCCATATTTGTAGAACTACATGATTATATACATTTGTATACAGGAGGCCCCCCGGTTTACGACAGCCTGATTTACGACCACCCCGCACTTACGACCTTTTCCATAAGTGCGGAAGGGGCCGAAATCCACCGACTTACATCATCGGCCCCGCATTTATGAGGGCACATAATGTCTGTCATAAATGCAGGCTCGAGTTACGATGCCCCGGACTTGCGACGCTATCCCAGTAACTGATTGTGTTGCACGTTGGGGGCAGCCTGTATTCCTATTATGAGAAACACTCCTGTTTGCATGTCTGCCTATGTCATTGCCTGCATATAATGAATACCAAATTTCAGTCTTCTACCGGAGCCTTTTCATGACTAAAAGCCTTCGCTCCCTATAAACCCTTCCGGTGCAAATAGCTGAAAAGTTCTGATCTGCACTAGTGGGCACTTGGTGTCGGTTTTTGCTATTCTTCTTTGCTCTCATTTGCTGGCATGTTGAGCAGCAAGATAAGTAATGTGTCCTGCTGGCAGGTGCGAGAGGAGAAAAAGTGCACTGATCAAGAAAAGCAAAAGAACCCAGCACCCCACAATGATGTATCTGAGTCACTAAGAATTGCTCGAAGCAATCCGACCCAGAACCTGGAATCCAGCCGGAAAACCGTGGGTACTAGGTCAGTGGTGGGCAAGCTGAGGCCTGTTGGGGTTTACGGTGGCCCATAAGACAATTTATTGACTGTTGCCCATGCACAGGGTTTCCAGATCCCGCTGGTTTTCGTCTGCATCGTTTTTTCCGTAGCGGTATCGCCAAAGCAATTCCCACATAAAGGAAAGGCCCGTGATGTAAGGGGCGAGCGGATTGCACTCAACATTGATGGGGAGAGCTGTGTGCTCCCTCTGCATCCAATCACAGCCCCCCACACATTCTATCTACACCAGCATATGGCATTAGGTTGTGAACAGTTGTGCATGCGCAATGTGCAGGCTAGATGAAATGCACATAAGAACATAGAACGGTCATATTGGGTCAGCCCAAAGGTCCATCTAGCCTAGTATCCTGTCTGCAGACAGTGGCCAATACCAGATGCCCCATAGGGAGTGAACAGAACAAGGAAGCCCCACGTGATCCCTCCCTGTCATCCATCTCCAGATAAACAGAGGCTGGAGATACCAATCCTACCCAGCCTGGTTAATATCCATTATTGGACCTAACCTCCATGAATCTGTCTAGCTCTTTTGTGAACCTAATCTTCACAACATCCTCTGGCAAGGAGTTCCACAAGTTGACTGTGTGCTGCATGAAGAAAAACTTCCTGTTCTTTGTTTTAAACCTGCTGCCTATTGGGTTGCCGCAAGTTCTTGTGTTATGGGAACATGTATATAACTTTTCCTTACTCACTTTTTCCACGTCTGTTGTGATTTTATAGACCTCTATCAACATCCCCCTTTAGTCTCCTCTCTTCTAAGATGAAAAGTGCAAGTCTTTTTAATCTCTCTTCATCTGGGACCATTCCACACCTCTAATCATTTTTGTTGCCCTTTTCTGAACCTTTTCCAATGTCATGGAGAACGTGTCAGATAAAGACCAGAGGGCGGTGGCGGGTGAATGAAGCACCAGACATGGGGTATATGGGGTAGTGACAGATGGCAAAACAAGGAGCAATGGTCTCAAGTTGTGGTGGGAGAGGTCCAGGTTGGATAATAGGAAAAACTATTTAACTAGGAGGGTGGTGAAGCACTGGAATGGGTTACCTAGGGAAGTAGTGGAGTCTCCATCCCTAGAGGTGTTTAAGTCTCGGCTTGACAAAGCCCTGGCCGGGTTGATTTAGTTGGGATTGGTCCTACCTAGAGCAGGGGGCTGAACTTGATGACCTTCTGAGGTCTCTTCCAGCTCTATGGTTCTATGATTCTATGATTCTATGAATACAGCTCAAAAGTGGTCCAAAGTTGCAGTAAAGATGGAACAAAAATGGAGGAACAAGTCTGCCAGACCAGTCCAGGAGATCTGGGGAGGTGACGCCCATCAGGAAGGAAGGAAGGACGGATTTGTGACTGGGTTGTGATAAGTTGGCTCCATTGACCTATTCTGTCTCTTGTGAGGCGGAAAATGATGTCCAGACGCCCAAGCGACACTAATTCTCCATGGGTATGTCTACACTACAAAGTTAGTTTGAACTAACTTTCATAGGCTACACTAGCGCTCCGTTAGTTCGAATTTAATTCGAACTAACGGAGCGCTTAGTTCGAACTAGGTAATCCTCATTCCACGAGGATTAAGCCTAGTTCGAACTTGCTAGTTCGAATTAAGGGCTGTGTAGACCCTTAATTCGAACTAGTGGGAGGCTAGCCCTTAACTAACGGAGCGCTTAGTTCGAACTAGGTAATCCTCATTCCACGAGGATTAAGCCTAGTTCGAACTTGCTAGTTCGAATTAAGGGCTGTGTAGACCCTTAATTCGAACTAGTGGGAGGCTAGCCCTCCCCAGCTTGCCCTGGTGGCCACTCTGGCCAACACCAGGCAAACTTGTCTGCCCCCCTCCCGGCCCCGGAGCCCTTAAAGGGCCACGGGCTGGCTACACAGTTTGTGCCAGTTGCAAGGCTGCCAGCACCC